GTTTACAGCAGGCCACCTGGTGTTCCTGATTGGACTCCCACTGCAGTGCTGACCAGGCCTCATCAGGTGACAGGGGACCGCTGGTGCTACAACAGGTTGAACTGTAGCCGCTGTGCTGGGACTCAGACTTGAGCAGTCCTGCACCACAGAGCAATGTCCCAGATAATCCCACAAACTCAGCTTGCTGGGAGATGCTGTCTTCTGGGGTTTATAATAGTCCCTACAATATGAATAAGCATTGTTTAGCAATATAATTTGCCAAACAATATTTCCTAGATGAAACATTAGGGATAAATCACGCTTCAGATCCTTACGGGCTGGGGCGGCAGGTGTCTTCCCCACGCGTGAAGAGCCCTCGCTCACGCCTCACTGCCGCCTCTAGCGGCCGGTGCCTGTAAACGCTCCACTCAGATGTTCAGTGTAAACAAACACCCCCTCCTCCTTTCGGTCTCCGGCGCAGTACTGACCGTGCCTGTGCCTCACGGTCTCGTGTTTCAGGAACTCTAATCGAATATTACACCCCTGTGCGCGGGATACGCAGCTTTACCGCCGTGACCGAGTCGAGCTGCAGGACCAAGAGGAACAATCCCGATTGAACGTAAGACGCAGACGAGCCAGGGACTGTGCGGTATTTGTTAATATGTGCTGCCACCTGGCGGTTGTCAAGGTGCAGTACGTTTCACGCCCGGAGTAGAGGATCGGGTTGTAAGAAACCCAAGTACAGTGTTTATCCACGGCTGTCGAGGAATAAATCACTAAATTGTCATCGAGACAATGCAACACCAGACGGAAACAGCTGCAGAGCGAGTTTATTTGCTTATGCACGGTGTGTGTGTATATATATATACACACACACACAAAGTGCTTCTGTACACAAAGGGTAGTGGGTGTCTGGAACAAGTAGTGCCACCATGTTCTTGAAATATTACTAAAAAGGTGGCGCAATTCTCTAAGAATCGTCTGGACGATATCTTGAGATCAGTGACCTGCTGTGTCATTCAATGAATGGCCTCCTCTCATCTGCTACTTTTCAGAATGTCATATCAACTATACTGTATATTCTGCGGCGTACCAGTGCCGGACTATTTTTCAACGAGTTCAGGTGGGGAGCTGCGTCAGCATGCGTAGGCTGCAAAGGAACAAGTAATAGATGTATCCCATGCTGAAGAGATGAAAGAAAACACGGCCGAAACGGTGTGTTTCTTTCTTCTCTTTTCAGCCTGGAATGAACCTATTATGTATCCCTTATTTTTCAACGATACGCTTTGGGTCACATGAGGAGGGGTTTATTAGGTTAGCCAGTCAAAAACAACAACGACAGTCACATGATGGAGGTCTCGTTGCGCTTTAATAGATACACGGCAGGGGCGATCACGTGATAAAATATCGGCTTTGTCATCGTCTTCTTGTTTATTAACCAATCAAAAGATAAATGCGTAGATCACATGACAGGCACGCGGTTGGTCGTGGTCCAATGAGGAGCCGTGCGGTTTGTTTGAACTGTGGAGGGCGGGCGAGGGAGAGATTTTTTCAGCGTCTCGAATGTATGGATACAGATGCAATAAAAAAAGTTTTAAAATATAGACAGATACAGGTAATAGAAAACATAAATGAAAAACGCAATAATTAATATTGCTCGAGCGATTTTTTTTTATTAATCGAAAGAGGTCTTGACATTGCTGAATATACAAATACGGTGCTTGTTGTTTAAACGGCGTTACACTGACAGGAAATTTACGCTTCGAAAAAGTGTTTATTCAATCATTGAAATATCATTATGAGTACCATTTTATGGGGTGAGTGTAGTATTTAGTCTGACGGGGGGGTCATTTTTAGTGCTCATCCCGTGTGAGCTAACTGCTCTTCGGCCAGCTCTGTTTTCGTAGGCCTGCGTTTATCTCATAGCCTACGCGAACGACCGCCATCGTGTTGCTACACCTACGATGGCCCATAAACAGATTTATTACTCGGACAAGTATGACGACGAGCAGTATGAATACAGGTGAGGTTCCTCCTCCTCCTCGTGTCTGTGCTATCTGAATTATGACGGTTTGGTGTTAAAATAGGCCCTTGCGTGTCATTTCTCCTCCACGTTTCCTCTTACTCGGCGGTGACGGTGTTCCTGTGAATCCGGCCGACAGCTGGTGTATTTGTAGGACCAGCAGGGGTGTCCGCGCCCCGAGCTGAGGCTCGGTTCTGTCTGAACCTGCCGCGTGTGGGAGAACAGGTTCAAGCCCCTGTCTCCTCACCTTCTCGTCCCTCTGCTCTCCTCCCCACTGAGAGCTGGTGTGCGGGGAGCGTACTGGTGCATCATCCAGGTGGGGCCGCACACTTGTGGTGGTGGAGGGGACCCCATTACCTGTACAGCACTTTGAGTGGAGTGTCCAGGAAAGCGCTTTATTATAATCATTTTTTATTGTTGCACAAGGAGACACCTGGCCCGTTTGGGTGTTAGAAGCGAATTGATCCCAGGATCTCAAACAGTTTCCTGGAAGGAACTGAGGGTATTGGCTTCAATCACATGGCTGTGCAGCCTGTTCCACACTCCCACCGCTCTCTGTGTAGAGCAGCGCCTCCTGTTCCTGGTGTTAAAGGTTTCTACCCTGTGGCTTCCGTGTGTCTCGCCGATGTCGTCGCCGACCCGCCTGGGTTTTGGGAGAGCTGGGTCGGGTTCCCCCGCCCTCTGTGTGCCGAAGGTGTGTGCGCTCGTGAATCCGAGCGTCTGCGCCCGCTCCTCTCTTTCCTGGGGGTTCGGGCTCCGCCAGTGAGGCCGTGCGCTCGTTGTGTCTCTGCAGGCACGTCATGCTGCCCAGGGAGATCGCCCGCCTGGTGCCCAAGACCCACCTGATGTCCGAGACGGAGTGGCGCAACCTGGGCGTCCAGCAGAGCCAGGGCTGGGTGCACTATATGATCCACGAGCCGGGTCAGTACCAGCAGAACCAGGGCAGACCCCCTCCCCCCCGGCAGCTGCTGTCAGGCCTGAAGAGAGGGGAGAAAACTTCTTGGTGCTGTCCTCTCCTCACTTCGATCTCGCAAGTTCAGCGAGCTTTAATGGCATGACCAAGGAGTTAGAGAGTTGCCAAAGCAGAGACTGACATTTACAGTACAAACATTATTGAACATTTACA